CCTTGGAACGGGCCCTCACGGCGATGCGCGGCCCGGCATGGGCATGAGAGGCCGCGAGCGGGAGTGCAGGGGCAATCGGGGCATGATGCCAGTCGGCACGCACCTGCGCTGCTCTCCTGAGGCTGGTGTGCCGGGAGTGCACCGCGAGGCGCACTATATTGTGGCGGCAATCTTGATCGGTGGCGGGAGGCGAGGAGATTGGGCCCCTCCAAGAGAAGGCCCCAGGTACAGCAGTACAGACGGCGGGGCAAACGGGTGAGCCGCCTGTTCACGCTCTTTGCCATCCACCTTTGTTTAACAACCAGAACAGTGGAAACAGGTGCATAGGAGCCTCCATCAGCATGCAAGCACGGTGTGGCCCGCGGGTAGCACACTATCTGCCTCCCGCCGCCACCGTTGCTGCCTCTCCTCCAGGCACCGGGCGCCAGGCCTACTGCCGCTCCGGACGCGGGGCAGCCATGGAGACGGAGAGGATGAGGTTGTCGTAACCGAAGCCGTCCAGCTTGGAGATGGCGCGCAGGGCGTCCTCGCGGTGGATGAAGTTGATGAAGGCAAAGCCGCGGCTTTCTCCTGCGACACACACAGGCGCAGGCGCGGGGCAGGCAGCCAGGGGCAGGTAGCATCAGCAGCCGGGCAGCGGTAGCGCACTGGACCGAAGGGCCGCAAGGGTGCAAACGGGGCCTGGAACGGCCAGCTGGACTCGGCAGCACACAACCGCGCCACGGCCCCGTGGGCCGCGCTTTCCGCCCCGCCCATCCCAACTGCAGCGCCCGCCCTCCAGCGGCCCAGCCCCACCCACCCGTCTCGCGGTCCTTGGCCACAAAGATGCGCTGGATGGGCCCAAAGGGTCCGAACAGGTCCGCCAGGTCATCCTCCGTCACATCCTCGCTCAGGTTGCTCACCCGCACGCTGTTCTCGTCGCGCCGCTTCTGCATCATCTCGCCGCCGCCGTCGCCGCCGCGCTCGCGGTTGCGCAGCGAGGGAGGCACCCAGCCGCCCGCCTTGCCTGCCGCGGGGAGGCCGCCGCCGCCGGGGCCGTCCTGCGGGCAGGCGGGTGCGTGGCAGGTCGGGCGCAACGAGGATGGTCCGCGAGCAGGCAGGCAGGCAGGTAGGGTGCCCCGCCAGGTGCCGGGTGCCTACGGCACGCTCCTGGAACCAGGCCGCTGGTTGTCCAGTGGCATGCATGGCCCGCCTGCCGCCAAACCAGCACCATCTGCTGCACAGCCGTCTGCACAGCCCGCCAGCCCGCCTGCCACGCCCCTCCCTTCCCACGCCTGCGTCTGCCCGCACCCCACGCCCCACATCTCATCCTCGCCCTCCGCCACACCCACCTCGTCGGGCGGCCGCTCTGGCGCCGCGATGAGGCCCTTGGCCGCCAGCAGCTGCCGCTCCATGCGCTTCTTGTAGAGCATGTCGCGCAGCGACCCCACAATCGCGCTCTTGTCCGACCCCGCCATGGCGGTGCGGAAGTCGGCCGCCTTGCTCTTCTCCTCCTGCGTCTGCTTCTGGCGCGCGATGCGCTCCAGCAGCACCTCGTCAGGGGTCTGGGAGGTGACCGAGTCGGTGGCGCGCTCAGACGCCGCCTCACCAAACTTCTTCCACCGCGCGCGGCGCTCCTGCGCCACCTGCGCTCGGGGCGGCGGAGCAGCGGCGGGCAGGCGCGGCGCGGTGGACGGCAAGCGCGGGGCATGCCAGCAGCCAGCAGTGGCTCGGCTGAAGCGAGGATAACAAGCAGCATTGCAGTCTGCTGCTGCTGCTGAGGACCGTGCCAGTGAAGTGCCGCTGCAATCACCGCCACCTCCCAACGCTGCAGAGTGCCGCCGCCGCCGCCCACCTGGTAGACCTTCTTGTCTATCTTCACCACCTTCGTCCTGGTGGTCTTCTTCACCACCTCGCCCTTCTCGTTGCGATAATACTCCACCTTGGTCACCACGTCCTTGGCATCGGGCCCAGAGGTCGTGGCCGGCGGCAGCTCCTCCTCATCCTCCAGCAAATCTCCCCACTTGCTGGCTGACACCATAGCTTCAGGCGCCGATGCCTGCTGATGCGCTCAGCGCCGTGATGCTGTGTTGGTGGCAGTGGAAGCTACAGAGGGGTCCAGCTGTACTGGCAGTGCCGCAGGATCGCTCGGACAGGCCTGCATGCACACGGATGAATGAGCCGCCAAGCTGGGAGGGTACAGGCAATACAAGTCCCTGTTTGGTAAAAGGGCGACCCAGCAACCTCGACACCCCCACCGAACGTCAGTGAGGCCATGGTGGCTTCGATGCGCGCCTATGAGGGCGTGAATTTGCGCTGAGGCCCGCCGCTTGATCGGTTTGGTGGCAAACTCCAGAATGGGGGGCCTGGAGCTGGAGCAACTGGGAGTGAGGGGCGTGGATGCATCCTCCATCGAGCAAGAGGTCCTGGCGAAGGTGAATGTTGCACATTTGCCAGTGGACGCCTGCTGGTGTTCCACTGCCCCACTCCTCACGCCCCTGCCACGGTCCAGAAGGTCGTGACGGTCCGCCCCCTGCCCGCCCACTGAGGCCTGCAGGCGCAGGAGGCGGGCGCGGCGCCGGCGGAACCCGCTGGCGACGACCCGGCTGGCCAGCTGCAGCAGCTGCGCGCCGTGCACCGTGAGCTGCGTGCCGTGGCAGCCGCAGTGGAGGGATTCCAGCAGCAGGAGGAGCAGGCGGCCGAGAAGCAGCAGGAGCAACAGCAGGAGTCCGATGCGGACGCATCGCTGCCGCTACCGCCGCCGGCCACCACGGCAGGCGGGGCCCTACAACGGGCGGTGATGCAGCAGCGCTTAGCTGGCCTGCAGGCCCGCAAGCAGCAACTGGAGGAGTCGCTGGCCGGCCTGGGCATTGTGTCGCCAGCAGCAGGGGATGCTGCCGGCCCGGGGCCCTCCACCCAAGCAGCAGCGTCCGGCACGGCCCCACCGGCGGCGAAGCAGCAGCCGCAGCGCAGGCCGACAGCGGCGGCAGGGCAGCTGCCCGCCGGCGGCGGCGGCAAGAGGAAGGGCAAGCAAAAGGTGCAGTTTGAGCTGGATGCCGACGCAGACGTCTTTGCCGACGCAGAGGCGGCGGCAGGCGGCGGCGGCGGCGCCAGCAGTCAGGCGGGGCTGGTGGAGACGGAGCGAGACCGCCTCATACGCCTGGTCAGTGTGGCAGCCGCGGGGCAGCCGCCCCACACACGGTGCCCGCTGTCGCCCGACCGCTGCCTGCTCCGCCGTGCGCCTGCGCTGGGCTGAGCTGCGCTGGGTGAGCTGTCGCCTGGTGCCTACACATCGCCCTTTGGCGGTGTTCCATTTGCTGCAGGGCATCCTGACGCCATTCGACCGCCTGGACGGGTTCGAGCGCAGGATAGAGCGCGGACCGTGGCAGCAGCAGCCGGCGCCGCCCTCTGCCGCTGCCGCCGGCGAGGCCGGCGATGCCGCAGGGGGCACCTCGCAGCAGCATGCGGCGGCAGCGGCGGCCGGCGGCCCCCAGACGCAGCAGCACGACAGCATTCGGCGGGTGGGGGAGGCGGTGCGGGCGGCCAGGGCGGCACGCCCCACCTCCATCCTTATGGATATGGCCGACCTGCCCCGCCGCGACCGCCCCGGCAGGTGTGTGGCACGCAGCCTGGGATGCAGGCAGCGGAACCGCCTGGGAGTCCCCAACAGCAGCTGCGTGGTGTTGAAGGGTGGGTGAGGCCTGTGTGCCAAGGCTGTGGGCCGAAGGTTGCGGGCTGCGCGCTGCTGCGCATGCGTGCAGGCGCATCGATGAGGGCTTCTGGCGCCAGTCCGCCTCTGGCAAGGTAGCGCCGGTCAAGAAGAAGCGGCGGCGCACGCTGGCGCCCGCCAGGCGCCCGCGGCGGCGGCGCGGCGGCGGCGGCGGCGGCTCGGAGGAGGAAGAGGAGGAGGAGGAGGGTGGGGAGGCGTCTGAGGCTGACCTGGCCAGCAGCGGCAGCAGCGGGGCGGAGGCGGAGGCGGGCTCTGGGGCGGGATCTGGGGAGGATCTGGGCGGCGAGTTTGATGATGCTGATGACGGCGCGTTTGAGGAGCGGCGCGCCTCCTTCCTGCGCCGCCAGGGCCGCCAGCAGCAGCGCAAGGCGCGGCGCCGGCTGCGCCGCGCGGGCGGCGGCGGCAAGCGGATGGGCGAGGGTGGCGGGGAGGGGGCGGAGGATGAGGATGCGCCTGCGGGTGGAGGCGGCGGCGGCGACATGGAGGGCGTGGTGGCGGAGGGTTCAGGGCAGGAGGCGGAGGAGGAGGCGGAGGCGGCGGAGGAGGATGTGGTGTTTGAGGGCGGATTCAGCCTGCCCGCCGACCTCTACGCCCGCCTCTTTGACTACCAGCGCACCGCGGTCAAGTGGATGTGGGAGCTGCACACGCAGCGCGCGGGCGGCATCATCGGCGACGAGATGGGGCTGGGCAAGACCATACAGGTGGGCGCCGGGGCTGGCGGCAGAGGCAGAGGGGGCAGAGGGAGCCGCTCTGCCTTGGCCTGGCTGGATGGCAGGCAGGTGCTGCACGGGCGCCGCACCGGACCACTTGATTTGGGGGCATCAGTTTCCCACCTGCCCGCCTGCCTGCTCCCTCCACCCAGGTCATCGCCTTCCTGGCCGGCCTGCACCACAGCGGCCTCTTCCGCCCCTCCCTCATCGTCTGCCCCGCCACCGTGCTGCGCCAGTGGCTGCGCGAGCTGCGCGCCTGGTGGCCCCTGTTCCGCGTCGCGCTGCTGCACGACTCGGCGCGCGGCAGCGGCGCAGGCGGCGCGCGCCCCTCGCGCCAGCGCCTGGTGCGGCAGATTGCAGAGGTGCGCCTGCGCGGCAGGGCTTTGCTGCTGGTGTGGTGGGTTTGGTTGTGTGTGTGCGGGTGGCTGGGGTGGGGGCAACACACTCCAGAGTGGAGTCGAGTGGGGCGGGGCAGCAGGTGCAACGCCTCCCCGCCCAGCACCGCCCCCGTCCGCCTGTTCCCTGCTGCCCGGCCCTGCAGAGCGACTGCGGCATCCTGCTGACCACCTACGAAACCATGCGGCTGCAGCGGGCGGACCTGCTGGGCGTGGAGTGGGGGTATGTGGTACTTGATGAGGGGCACAAGATCAGGTGCGCATGTGGCGGGGTGCGGCGGCGCTGTGCCGCGATGGATGCTGGCAAGCAGCGCTGGCGCCAAGGTGCCGCGCCTTGGGAGTGGCGGTGCCGTGCGCCCGGGGACCTGGCCGCTGTGTGTGCTCAGCAGCGCTGTGTGTGTGCTGCGCCGCTGCCTGCCTGCCCACCGCAGGAACCCGGATGCAGAGGTGACGCTGGCGGCCAAGCAGATGCAGACGGTGCACCGCCTCATCATGTCTGGCTCCCCCATACAGAACCGCCTCACAGAGCTGTGGTGAGCTCGCGCTGGCGCGGGGGGCGTGCACGCGGGGAGGAGCCGCGTGGAGCGCAGGACGGGCGGCGCCTGCTGGCTGGTGGCGCGGCAGCATCAGCTAACACCCGGCCCTGCATGCACCTGCTCGCGAGCCTGACGGCAGCACCTTTCGGGCGCCTCCCCTTGCCTCCCCACACCTGCCCCTCCCTGCCCCTTCCTGCCCCTGCCCCCGCCTCCGCCCTGCCCTGCCCTGGCCCCAGGTCCCTCTTCGACTTTGTGTTCCCTGGCAAGCTGGGCACCCTGCCCGTCTTCACCGCGCAGTTCGCGCTGCCCATCCAGATCGGCGGCTACGCCAACGCATCGCCGCTGCAGGCACGTCCATGCACAGCCAGCCCAGCCCAGTCCAGCCCAGCCCAGCCAGCAGCGCAGCGCACGCGGGTGCAGCTGGGCTGTGAGTGGCTGCCCATCCCGGGGCCTCGCTCACATCCCGGGCCGTGCTCCCTGGGGTACACAACCATACCGCACCCCACCACACCACACCCCACCACACCACACCCTCACACATCACACCACCCCTGCCCCCACACCGCAGGTGTCCACCGCCTACAAGTGCGCCGTCATCCTGCGCGACCTCATCGCCCCCTACCTGCTGCGCCGCCGCAAGGCCGACGTGGCGGCGCAGCTGCCGCAGAAGACGGAGCAGGTTTGTGTGTGGGGGTGGGGGGGTGGGGGGGGGAGGGGGGCGCAGGCTCGCCATCAACCCACACGCAGGCACACGGCACTGCTGCTACTGGCCGCAGCTGCAGCCGGTTCCACCGGCTTGCGCCGCCCACTCTTCCTGCCCTGCCCTGCCCTGCCCTGCCCTGCCCTGCAGGTGCTGTTCTGCATGCTGACGTGGGAGCAGCGGGACCTGTACCGCGGCTACCTGTCCAGCAAGGAGCTGCGCGAGATCTTTGCGGGCAGCCGCACCGCGCTGGCGGGCATCGACGTGCTGCGCAAGATCTGCAACCA